AACTGTAAAAGAAAAATTCTAGAATTCCATAGAATTCCCCTCGCAATTAGCAAAACAAAGTTACATGCTCAATAGAACAAATAAAAAATTAAATTAAAAAAATAAAAAATAGATATTAATTGTTGTTTTGTCAAAACCAAAACGTTCGGTCCCAGGGCAGAGAGGAAGGAAAAAAATTACACAAAATTCAGACGGATGTTAGGTTGGTTATGAAGGGTACCAAGGCTGTTACCAAATTCACCAAATTAGGGCTTTTGTATTATGATTCAAATATGTGAAACAGAAGGCTAATAACTAATCTATGAATTTTAATGGTTCTCTCCAAAAGAAAAGGAAATAAAATATTTTTACCTTATTTCAGTTAGAGAATGGAGAAGCAAAAGATTGGGCGGTGATGAGGAGCAATTGGACCTGCTGCTGCACTTCTTGAGAGTTTTGGCGTCTTATATAAGATTGTCAGATGGTTGATTCTTGGTAGTGGTTAAGGGTGGACGTGGTTTGGGTTAACTTGAATTTTTCCTTTTTTTTTTTTTAAACCCAACATGGTCGATTTGACCGAAAATCAGGAAAAAATTCAAAAATCAAGTATTAAGTATGGGGTAATTCAATTTTCGGGTTTTTATGTGTCAATCTTCAAAATTCAAATATTAATTAATTAATTAATTATATTGAGTTTGCAATTATATAATTATTGATCACAACTTATTTATTTGTGTCATATTAGCAAATTAATTGGTGAAAATTTTGATAGATCACAATTTATTTCGTCGATCACAAATCAAAGAATTTATTGATTACAGCTTATTTGTTGGTAGCAGATTTTCAAATCGGTCACAAATAACAAATTTCATAGATCACAACTTATTTAATGATCACAAATTAGCCATTTTATTAGCCACAATCACCCAAATAACGAGTCACAGCAACCCAACCCAATGAAATGCCATGCCAACTCCACCTCTATCATTTTGAAAACCACCACCACCACCAATATCGCACAAACACCAAAACCAGCACCTGCATCTACTCCACCACTGCTAGATCCACCATCACTACCAACACAATACCAACACCAAAGATCTATTACCATCGCCTACACCACCACTCCAATAATAATAATAATAATAATAATAAAAATCCAAACACCAAAAAAACCAACACCAATAGTTCTATTACCACCGCCTGCACCACCACTCGAACAACAAAATAATAATAATAATAATAATAATAATAATAATAATAATAATAATAATAATAATAATAATAATAATAATAATAATAAATCCAAGCACCAAAAAAAAAAAAAACCAACACCACCACCCAATGATCATCGTTGCAATAGCGATATGAGGGTTATTGCAGCTGCAAAGTTTCCTCTTCTCAGCACCACTGCGATAGTCATGATTATGCCACTGCGCAGGCACTTCGACAATGACAATGCACGGCTTTCCTTTGTAGCACAACTACCCAAAGTTATTGATTTAGGGTTTGAATGGGTGGATATAATAGGGTGTGGGTAAATAAATTAATTCATTTATTATTATTATTATTATTATTATTATTATTATTATTATTATTATTATTATTATTATTATTATTATTATTATTACCTAATTTTTGTATAAATAAACCCTAAAGGTGATTTTTGAATTAGAAATGTTAAATACCTATGTGGATGTAATTTTTATCTTAGTTAAAGCAGGATTCTGCCTACGCCCGTCACTTGGGGTTTTCTTTTTTCTTTTTCTTTTTTTTTTGGGAGAGGGGGGGGGATTAGACCTAATACCTTAAAAACTAACTTATTTGATTAATACCCTGTTAACAAATTGAATTAGTTAAGCATGTATTTATTATGTTCTAAAACTACTAAAACCCCCAAAATCCAAACCAGTCTCGATTTCAAAAAAACTCTCGAAGTGAAACCCTCTCACTCAATAACATTATAGATCGCTCATATCCAGGTTGTTACATTGCAAATAATGTCACTGAAAATTTCATTTTAATGAGAACTTGGCAATATGCTGTGGCATCTTTGAATTAGAGCTGGATAATGCAAATTTTGGGAATGGGGTCTTTCATGAATATTACGAAGTGCAGAGCTTCAAAATGAGTGAAGGATTATGAATGTAGAACTTCGGAATGATCCTAATATGAGTTGTGCATCCGGGTGGAGTGGTGGTAACGGTTACGATGGCTGCGAGGATCAATGAAAAGGGTTATAGTCATTTAGGTAGCGTGAGCTTCGAAGGTCAATGGGGATCTAGTGGAATATGAAGTAAATTTATATTCCAGTATTTTATATTTAGTTGCAAGTGATATATGCAGATAAATCAGAATAATAATATAACTGTAGAAGGGAAGTGCCATCTAACCTTCTTGACTTGTAGAGGAACTGTAATAAATAGGAGTGGGCACTTTTTTTCAGAATCGGTGAAATCGGACCGGAGCCATTTAGAACGGGCCAGTTCGGTTCCAGATCTTCTAAAAAACAATTTGATTTTGGGACAATTTTTTTAAAATCAACCAGCTCTAGTCCGATTCCTGGTTCTAGTATGGGAACCGCGGGAACCAGACAATTCTCATTGGATTTTTTTTTTTTTTTTGGGAAAAAATATATGACTCAATCTCCAACACTTTTATCAAAAATAATCGAGTTCCTTTTTAATTTTAGACTCAAGCACTTTCCTTCTTCTCTTTGATTTTTTCCTTGTCTCTTCTTATAATTTTTTGATTAATTGATTTTCAAGCGAAATTAGAATATTGGATAAATCTATACCTAAATAAATTTATTTACAAAATATAATTTCATTTATAAGATTCGAAATTTTTATTTTGTTTTCACTTTGATTACATGATTTTTATTTTGTTTTCACTTTGTAAATCTATACCTAAATAAATATTTGAACAGTCTGTTCGGTTCTTCTGTATTTTGTTAAAAGTATCATGTTGGTAGCATTTTTAAAGTTTTTATTAGTGAACATTTTATTTTGACATTTTCAATGTAAAAAATCGGACCAGACTGAATCGGAACCGATTGGTTCGATTCTGGTTCAGTTCCACAGTTAGCTATGGAACCAATGGTTCCATTTCTAAATTCCCATTGGAATTCGATTCGATTCAGTTTTCTTTGGAATCGGACCAAATTGGACCGCGCCCACTCCTAGTAATAAAGTTGGGATTTATACTGTAAAATCAAGCCCATTGAGTAGACTACCCAGAACAAATAAATTTTGAGAGTTGTAGAAAGGGCTTTCCACATGTATGTGCCACTATAAACTTTGACACTGCCCTTGAAGCTTAAACTAAAAGCTTTTATTTTAAACAGTGCATATGCCCTTATAAAAACCTCTTATGGAGGTATATAGCACCACTTTTTGTCATTTAATATTCATCAATTTTATTATTAGTTCAGAAACGAGTTAATTGTTTTAATAGTCATTGAACTTAGGTTCGTGTCTTTGATTGGTCAATGAAATTTAAAATTTCAAGTTTTAGTCACTGAATTTAGGTTTATAATTTCAATTTCCTACTAAAGCTTAAAATGTCGAGTTTTGGTCATTGAACTTTAAAAAATGTTGTACGTTATTCACTGTAAACTCGACATTTTTCAAAGTTCAAGATTTATGCTAGTGAGTAAGTGTGGAATTCTTTTAACATGGAAGTCACATTGAACAAGATATGCAATTTAGATTCCTACCACTAGGGTTGGTAATCCAACCCAAACTGCTCAACTTGACCAACCCAAACCAAACCGGTCAATTTGGGTCGATTTTTTAAGTTCAATTGGGTTGAGTTGGGTCTCGAGTTATGAATTAAAACTCAACCCAACCAGATGAATTAAAAAATTAATATCTAAGATGGAAAATAATTTAAATAGACACAATATTAAAAATAAGAGAATGGCATATAATTTATAAACTTCCATTTTCTTCACGTAGGCCGATTCACATTAACACTATGTACAAATGCAATGTTATTGACGATAAAGTAAAAATTAAAGACATGATGATGAAATGAATGAATTCCAAAAAAATCGTAAAAAAGAAAATTCTTAATAAATTTAAAACTTATTTATACATTATTTTTAGAAAGAATTCCTTGTATATGTGTTTAAAAAATGAAGGTTTTCAAGTAATTTTCAACTCTAAAAAATTATTTAAATTTAACAAATAAACTGGATCCAACTTTAAATTGCTCAAAGCCCAAATCTACCCAAACTTAATCAATTTACACTGGGTTGTGTTAAAATCAATAATTGGGTTGGGTTGGGTTGGGTTGGGTC